GACTGCCTCGTTGGTACTAAAGTGAACTTAACCTGTAACCGGGGCTCCGGCTCGAAGTGCAGGAGTAGGAACGGGGTGATTTTTAGTCAGTAAGAGGTTGACACTCCCTCCCGCCTCACCCAGACGGGAGAAGCCATTTGATGACTTCCCCCCTTAAAAAAAAATAGGTACTTAAGTACCAAAACATATAGCCTTTTTCAAAATATTTACCAGAGTTAGTTCAAAATACTACCTACTAGTTTTATTTATCATTTCCAAAACAGTATTCACTGTAAGATATAGCTGAGTATCATTTTTAACCTAAGATGAGGGTCACAAAATGCTAAACAACTATTAATTCAATTTGTACGAAATCTAGAATAAATAAGCAAATTTTACGGTTCTATAAATAAATTGCTTATATAAACATGACATCGTGTTTTAAACTTGACCCTGTTACAGAGTTCGAACAGACAAGCTATACAAATGTACCTACTTATCTATTTAAACAATTTGGTGCCTTCTTGTCTTATCATATTCGAAGTTAATTAAGCATGTAATGTATGAATATTTATGTTTATAATTACGTGGATAATATCTAGGAATTATTATTATGCAGTTTAATTACATTCCTACTTAATCGCATCGAAGTATAGATTTTCATATATATCACTTGTTACCTTTCTATGAAACAGTATCACTTTTTTTAAAAAAAAAGGAGCATCGCTTTTTAAAAATAGAAAAAACCTGATGTTATCTGTCTCAAGTAACACAATTGGGTGCTAGCCTAAATAATCAAATTCAATACTTTTTTTCGAACTGTCAAAAACTACAGTTTTCTATGAATTTTGTACGAGATTGTGACGTCACGTTTTGTAGCATCAAACAGCATACTTATATTTTTTAATTTACTGGAAATATATTAAAATGATGTTGATCATAAAATCAGTTCATGTAAGTGTGATTACTTTTTAATATTTTAGTGTATAGAACTCTCGAAATAATTTATTTTTGATTAAGATAAGTACCCAATGGTGGGCTACTAATAGTGAGAATTGTAAAAAAGGGAAACTTATTAATGACTTTTTTCATTATGACTTTTTTCACTATGATTGGTTTGGTGACTGGGCTATCGGCTGCTGCGGAACGTGTAGTGGTTAGTTAGTAGTTTAATTCCCTCACGGATCAACTCTATGTGTAATCCGCAAATTGTTGACACCTACACACACATGTGTATGTGAAATTGTATGTTTGTAAACACACCCACGACAAAGATTCGTATAAATTTCGTATTTTCCTCAACACTTAATTATTCTTTCAATGTTATTCTAGCTGGACCAACAGGTCGGTCGATTAGGTAGGTTGTCTAAAAAATTAGTCATTCTGAACTGGTGTATAGGTATCTACAAAGGTCACAAATCACATTCCTTTGAACAAAAACTGTTTTATTTAGTACTTAAGTTACGTTTTTTCTGACCAAAATGAGAAATATCTACTAACTGTATGTCTATTAGGCATTTTTAGCAGAAATAACGAAATTTTCTGTGATTTTTCAGCGGTCGACCGCACACTTTTAACCTACCTAGGCTACTTATCCTAAGACATAACTTCCTAAATACACAACGTTTATACTTATAGACAATCATTTCAATACAAATAAAAAAATCTGCATATTTACCACCAATTTGAGTTGTGCTGCGGTATACAAGTTTGGAGCTAAAGCAAGTTTAAAGAGTTATACAGTTTCCTCAATAAAAAATATAGTTAGCTTCAATTAAGTTGACTAACCTTGATGAACCAGCACAATCTAGTTATTCTCTATCTCGTCGCGTTGGTTTCCTCATTACTGAGTGTCATAATCTCCTTCCTATATGTGGAATGGTTTTCTTTAGGACAGTTGCTCGCCACTTGTTTCTATCCATAACCGAATGGTGCTGTCCATTCGGTTTCCTTGTAGGCTGGGGTCCAAAGTTGTTCGGATATGATCCGTCTATGTAATTAGGCTATTTTGATGATGAGGGGAAACCTTCGAAAGGCGCCTGGCGGAAGACTATGGAGTGTGGAATTCGTATCTCACTAAAACCCCGCCTGTAACTACTAAACTATCATTTTCACCTATAGGGGTTATTGGGTTCTCTAGTAGACCTGCCCCGGAGCCCCCACGGCGCAACGCCTGTTGCGGCACATCCCTGGAGAGACATAGGTCTCCCTTGAGCCATTTGATTGAGCTGTCCTCTTGGCCTTTAACCATAAATTGTTCCAGACTGTGCCAGTATATTACCAGTATGATAAACCGTCTCTTTTTTCAGAAATCCTGTTCCACAAGCAAATAGAATGGCGTCAAAAATATGGCCCTACTTGGAAACTGACTGCTTTTAATTATAGGTCTGTGTATATTTATAAACCTGAGGACATTGAGGTGAGCATATGTTATACTGGGTTTTGTCAACGTATTTGCCCTTGTAATTAAAAACTTTAATGAATTAATGTATGTCTGTGTTAAACGTTCAAATCCGTATAGTAGTTTTATTTTTGCATAAAAGGGAACACCAAGTACGACCATAAGCACATATGCATAATTATATCTTTGCAAGCCTTCACATCAGTTGATGAAGATATATACCTATACAATTGAATTAGTACCTATTTATTGAATTAATATTTAATGCAATTTCTATTCTTCTATTATTGATAACAAACAATAATTTCAGGTAGTTTTGTCATCGACGCGATATATAGGAAAAAATTTGCCGTACAATTTCTTAGTGCCATGGCTCCAAGAAGGACTTCTAACGAGTCAAGGTACGTAGTTTTCAAATATATATTTTTTGCGTTTTAACATAAACCAACTACTCCTTCCTGGCTTACTTGCTATACTCGACACCTATAAATTGTAGCGTGATAGGTTATGGCCCACATTCTTCCTCGATAATTAGACTACCTATCTAGCACACAAAGAATTATATGAAAAAGTACTTCCTGAGAATAGCACGTTCAATCAAAGAAATAAACAAATGAATGCAGTTATATAATATAGTACAGATTAAAATGTAGTAGATCTTTCCATCTAAATTCAAGGATAATTGTATAAAAATAAAGGAAGGTCAAAGATGCAATTAAATTAATACCTAAATAAATTTAAAAGTGCATAATTTGAAACCTGACAGATTATGTAAGTATTGTTAAAATATAGTTAGATATTATTTAAACATTGATACAACTACAAAGAATGTTGTATGGTTGTATATAAAAAATAGCATAAATTAATTATACAGAAAAAGCTTCCTTATGTATTAGTATAAATATTTTATCACTCAAAGCACTAACTTTGAGTGATATTTTTTATTCTATACGTTGAATCATCATCAGATACTAATGAATATTGAATTTAAAGATGTTGTCATTGTTATATTGATGTAATTAATTTTATAATGATATCCATAATATATGTTTATTATGGATATCATTATGAAATTTCTGGTAAAAGAGAAAAATTAATTAATTGGTCTTAATTTGTCTTAAATATTTAATATTTTTTTGGATTATTCCCTTATATTTTCACTAGAACAAGTCATTTAACTTTATCATTATCCATTTCTTTATCGTTATGATTAAGTTTTGTAATTTATGGTTGATTAAATAATTCTCAACACATATTCATCCATATAATTCCTCAAGGAACACCTACAATTTTAATAATATCTAAATTAACTTATCACCAGCAAGTCCGTGGAATATATGTCAAATAAAAATACCTACGTAAAATACTATGTTTTCAGGTGAAAAATGGCATCATCGCCGCAAAATGTTGACTCCAGCATTTCACTTCCAGATTCTCAAGAAGTTCTTTCCAACTTTCTGTGAACATTCCAAAGAACTGGTCAACAATTTAGAAAAGGAGTTGTACAAGGAAAAAACTGATTTGTTCCCTATTATAAGCAAGGCTACACTTGGATTAATATGTGGTATGACATTCAATTTCAATTAATTAATTATACATATAAATAAGTGACAATAACCCGGAGGTGTAGTGTGAATCGAGTCTGCTCCAATGAACCAACCAGAGTCAAGTCAGAGCGCCCTCTAAGGCCTTGGTCCGAGTTTATCTTACATTTAAACGCCCTCTGATTGGTTGGTTCATCAGAGCCAACCAATCGTTTTGATAACCTTATACGTAAAACAAACTCGTACTAGGCCTCTGACCTCTCACTCGGCTCGTCAGACTCGCAGGGTGGGGAACAAGTAGGTACCTATTGAACGGGACGCTGGTCAAGAAGACTTTTGCAGTTTCGTCGCGGCACTCGTGCGAACGAGTCGTGTTGTAATTGTTTACGTCGATTTGACGCACTAATCGTCTGACCATTGATAAGCAAGTACCTAAGAGCTTAGAAAGGTCCCGCGCGGGGCAAACCGGTTTGCCACCGGCGCGCTATAGATGCAACGTGTCTGCGAATACAATGAGTGATACAAATGAGAATTACGATGAAATAAATGATGAGAATATGAATGAAGTTACAAACGAAATTTCAACTTCAAATGAAAATTTAGACAATTTAGATAATCCAACCAAGAAGAGAATGAGGGGAAGCAGCGATGAAGAATGGACAGAAGTAACACGAAAAAGCAAAAAACTTAAGGATATAAACAAAATAGAAGTATACATATCCAGTAAAGAAAAACTACCAAAACAATTTAATTTAGCCAAGATATTTAGAGACCAGAATATTAAAGATATTATGAGAGTAAAGTTTACCAATCCATACCGAGTTCGTATAGAACTGGGTAATGAAATTAGTGCGGAGAAATTAGAAACATGCAAATACTTTCTTGATCAAGGGTGGAATATTCACAGAGCAATGGAGAATAGTATGTCGTACGGAGTGATACGAGATGTTGACTTGGACATGTCAGAAGAAAACATTTTGGAGAATATTTTTTGTCCTGAACCAGCTAAGCTAATTTCAGTTCTTCGTCTGAATCGCAAGAATTTTGGGGAAGATGGATGGTCACCTAGTGAAGCTGTGCGCCTTGCCTTTAAAGGTTCCTTTCTACCACCATATGTGTACACTCATGATTTGAGAATAAAAGTCGAACCATATGTATTTCCGGTTTCACAGTGCTCACGTTGTTGGAGATTTGGCCATGTACATAAAAAATGTCCTAGTAGCAAGGTGATTTGTCCCAAATGCGGAAAAAATCACGAAAATTGTGAAACTTCTGATATGAGATGTGTTAACTGTGGAGGGAATCACATTTCTCTCTCAAAAGTATGTCCAAGCTTTCAAAGGGAAAAAAGATTGAGAGAACTCATGGCTGAGTTTAATTGCACATATCGAAAGGCCCTAACTATATATGCACCAAAAGAACCTAGTAAGGAAATCAACATTGAGAGATTAAGTAGTGAGATACATCCCACATTGGAAGAAGAGAACTTTACGTTTCCCACAAATATTAGTAGTCCAGTTTTTAAAATAACCACTAAAGCACAGATACATAAAAAGAAAGGGAAATCATCAACTAAACATAAACTGAACGAGGAAGATAAAACAGATATTAGTTATATGGAGTGGATAGAAGAAGGACAACATAATAATACTGAAAGGAAAAACTCCGTTGAATCAGAAGCAAAACAAAGAGATGTTACTTTCAAGGAGTTATTAATGAGGTTACGAGAGATAATATTCATGAAGGGAAGCACTATACACACAATTTTTAAAGAAGTTATCAAGACGTGTATTGAGTGGGTAATATTAGTATTAGCTGATAATGTAGCGGACTGGCCTATACTCAAATTAATTATGAACCTCCTATCAAATGGCAGATAAGTACTCAAAAATTATTAAACTTAATATTATACAATGGAATACACAAAGCATTCGTCCAAAGTTATGTGATTTTGAGAATTTTTTATTACAGGACAAGATTCACATTGCTGTCTTAAGCGAGACCTGGTTAGAACCAGATAGTAATTTTAAAGTAAAAAATTTTAATATATTCCGTAAAGATAGATACGACGCATACGGCGGTGTAGCAATTCTTACGCATAAATCAATTAAGTCACAGATTTGTCATAATTTTCAACACTCTAATCCAGGAATAGAAATTATACACGTTAAAGTGTACAACTGCAATCAAATTGAAAATATTATTTCTATTTACTGCCCACCTTCAATAAATACTAGCCAGTCTGATTGGGATCAATTATTTTTACAGGTAAATACCAAAACTTTACTCTTAGGTGACTTTAACGGACACCACACCAATTGGTCCAATAAAGTCGACAGAAGAGGTAATCAAATCTTTGATGCAATTATTAGTAGTAACCTTGTGTCATTAAATACCGGGGCTCATACTCGTATTAAGCTGGTTAACAACGTTCTTCAACAATCTTCCCCTGATATTTCATTAGTCTCGACCGACATAAGTCTTAATTTAAATTGGAATGTACTGAATGAGACGTTAGGTAGTGATCATTACATTATTAAAATTACGACATACTTCAAAGCCAGTGATTACTATATTTCCCGTCGAAACTACAAAAAGGCTAATTGGGAAGGATACCGTAAAATTTTGAATGAACTGTTTAATGATACTATTTTAACCAATGATTTCCAAAAAAATTACGACTTATTTACAGATTATTTAGATATAGCGGCAGATCTTTTTATACCATCTATTAAAATCAATATAAATCCAGAAGTCAAGTTTACACCAAAACCTTATTGGAGTCCTTATCTTTCTAAGGTTGTTGCAGAACGCCGCTTAGCACTTTCGAAATTTAGACGTAACCCATCACCACACAATCTCGGAATTCTTCAAAGTAAAATCTCCGAAGCTCAAAAACAAATACGTCGGGCTAGAAATAAGTCATTTCAAGAATTTTGTTCTAGTCTTGACCAATCTACAACCCATAGTGAACTATGGCGTAGAATGAGATGGGTAAAGGGATATTTCCCTCCAAGATCCCATATCGACGACACTAAAGTCAATGAACTACTTTGTAGTTTAGCCCCGGATTTCGTACCATGTGAGAAACCTTTACTTTTTTCAAATAACCCAACACTAGAAGTACCTATAACAATCCAAGAACTGATTAAGTGTTTAAAAAATAAAGATACAGCCCCCGGTTGCGATAAGATCTCATATTCTATGATAACTCAATTACCTGACAACGGAAAACAAATGTTACTCGATTTATTTAATTCGTTTCTCAAAAACTCATTTGTACCTAAACAATGGCGCGATATAGTAGTTATACCAATCCCTAAACCAGGCCGCGACCCTTCTTTAGTTTCATCTCTGCGGCCGATATCTATGATCTCGTGTGTATGCAAATCTTTCCATAACATTCTACTCAACAGATTAGAGTGGTATATAGAAAAGAATCGTATGCTACATCAAAATACGACTGGGTTTAGAAAATGCCGATCGACAGTAAACAATCTCACCAGTTTAGTTTCAAGAATACAAACAGGTTTTTCTAAAAAACAAAGTACAGTATGTTGTTTTATTGACTTAGATAATGCATACAATAATGTGGATATTTATAGTTTATTAAGAATCATGGATTACTTAGGAGTAGGACAAAGAATATCTGATTATGTTTGGAATTTTTTACGATCTAGAAATTTAAAAATTAACACAGACAATTATTCACTGTGTAGAACTACTGCTCGCGGCCTGGCACAAGGAGATCCTTTTTCTCCTTTGCTGTTTAATATAGCTACAATCAATATTTGTAAAAAGATAAATAATGTTAGTATTTCTCAGTTCGCAGACGATTTTGTATTATATTTTACTACCCATAATATTTTAGAAGCAAAACATGAACTACAAATAGCTTTGGATCAATTTAACAAATTAGTGGAAAACATCGGTTTAAATATTTCATCAAGTAAAAGTAAAATATGTATATTTAAAAACGGATTTAAGAAAGATATTATTAAAATTAATATAAATAAAAGTACTCTTGAAGTAGTTGACACATATAAATATTTAGGATTATGGCTGGATCGTTCTCTAAGATGGTCCAAACATATAAATGAGCTGAGAGATAAGATGTCGAAATTTCTTAATGTGTTTAAAATACTGGCTGGCCCAGGATGGGGAGTACACCCGACTCATTTGCGACGGTTATATATTGCCATTATACGTAGCAGATTAGATTACGCGAGTTTTTTATACCACAACAGTTGTCAAACTAATCTTCATAAATTATCTAAAATACAGAATCAATGTCTGAGGGTCATTGGGGGTTTCATAAAAAGTACACCCATACATGTGATGGAATGCGAACTTCATATACAGCCGTTGCATATTCGCAGATATTACTTAGCTGGCAAATGGTATTTGAAGCTAAAGTCTTTTATAGGTGATAACACCTGTGAAATTATCAACACCCTATACAATAACTGCCAAGGTACTCAGTGGAGACGCAAAAAAATACCACTCTTAGTTCACATATCTGATATATTTAGTAACACAGTTGTCGATGTTGATTGTCATAGCGAATTGGGATTATTCTCGCTGAACACGTGGATAAGCAGTGTGAACTTGTTCTGTATGATTAACCCGCATATTGAAGAGATTACAGAAGCTAAAAAATTATACAATATTAATCATCTTCGAAGTATTTGCTATGAACATTTTAACACAAATTACTCGGGATATTATACTTTATATACAGATGGATCTAGAATAGGAGATGCGGTTGGTGCGGCATTTTATGATCCTCAAAATAACATAACTTGTAAATTTCAACTTAACCCAAAAATATCGACCATGCACTCGGAATTAGTCGCAATTTGCGAAGCTGTGTCATATCTTGATTCTATTAATTTTAATAATTGTGTTATATATTCGGACTGTAAAAGCGCACTCCAACATTTACTTAAATGTATAAAGAGTAACGGTTATCCTGTAGCATACAAAATTATAGATAGTATGGTTAAGCTTAGGAACAGGGACAAACACATTGTATTACAGTGGTTGCCCTCCCATATCGGCATTAAAGCAAATGAGAGGGTAGATAGTCTGGCTAAAGAAGCTTGTTTTGACGGTATCCCAATGACACATAAACCGCATTGGACGGATGTTTTAAGAGAAGTTAAATTAAAATGTTACGATAATTGGAATGAATATTTTGACGAAAAGTCGTTGACCAAAGGCATTTGGTATCGCACGATGCGACCGACTGTATATACGTTCCCGTGGTTTGATAATGCCAATATGAGCAGGCAAGAAATTGTGACGAGTTTGAGACTTCGCTCCGGACACATTCCATTAAATAGTTTTGCTGCAATGATGGGTAAAGTAGTGTCACCAAATTGTACGGAATGCGATATTGTTGAGGACGTGTATCATATCATAGTGGAGTGTGTCCGGAATGATGCAGATAGATGTCGGATACAAAGAGAATGTAACATAGATTTTCGTGAATTTGGAATATGTAATTCAAGTCTAGCCTTTCCAACATCTAATTCTGCTAAGATAATTTACAAGTTAGTTCATTTAGGAATTAAACGTAGATTGTAAGTTTCCAATGTTAATATTTCTAGTGTTCCTATGAGGATGACATGTTCGTTATATGAACAAATCCTCAATAATCAATAAAGAATTAAAAAAAAAAGAAGACTTTTGTTCGACAATTAACGCCTCTTTGCTAATCATGATAATTAATCAAAGGCCTTTAATGAGATACAAACCTTTTTGTTGACCTTCACATATCAATACAGAGAATTTTAAAATCTACCCGAATGTAGATATCGAAACCTCGTGTAATTACTACGATTTTTTTTAAGGGAGGAAAATCATCGAATGGCTGCTCCCGCCTGGGTGAGGCGGGAGGGAGTGTCAGACTCTTACTGACTAAAAACCACCCCGTTCCTTCACTTGCACGTCGAGCCGGAGCCCCGGTTACCCGTTAGGTTCTCCGCGACTAATTACTACGATATCTCTACTAATTAAATAATAATAATAAATCATGCGGTAAATTTTATTTCAGAAACTTCAATGGGTGCAACTACAGGTGAAGATATAGAATTTTTGAAAAACAAATATTTTAAGCCCTTGCACACAGTGGCTTGGACAATGATGTATCGGATCACAAGAATTTGGCTGTTCACAGACACACTGTTCAAACTGACTAACGTTGCTAAAATACAAAACGCTGCGTTAAAAACTTTGAACAAATTCACAACACAAATTATACAAGATAGAAGAAAATATAGAAAACATAATAATATAACTGGTTACTATATTCACACTGAAGATGATGACGATAAAAATTATGGGAAAAAAGGCAAACTAGCCATGTTAGATCTTTTGCTTGATGAAGAAGCGAAAGGAAGAATCGATGAAGCAGGAATCACTGAAGAAGTCGATACGTTTATGTTTGAAGTAAGTATTGTAATATACATACACATAACATCATAATATTATCTAATTATCCCTATATTATGTAATTTATTCATGAAGGCATCGGCAGCAGTGCACATTAAGGCACTCAGTGCCAATGTACAATGAGTATTGTAATATCTCTTTTGAAAAAGTAATTAACAATTTACGATCATCTATGCACGTAGGCAATTGGTTTGAGATTGATCGGCATACCTAATGTCAATATTCTCCTTAAACTTCACTTAATAAAAAGTAGGTCACTTTTTATTAAGTGAATACGATAAGTAAAACTTCTGCCTATATACTATATACTATACAATCTATCTGTCGCGGAGAACCTAACGGGTCGCGGAGAACCTAACGGGTCGCGGAGAACCTAACGGGTTACCGGGGCTCCGGCTCGACGTGCAGGAGAAGGAACGGGGTGGTTTTTCGGTTCAGTTTTTTAGTCAGTAAGAGTCTGACACTCCCTTCCGCCTCACTCAGGCGGGAGCAGTCATTCGATAATTTTCCCCCCTTAAAAAAAAATACAATCTATCTTTAGGTATACATCTGTATGATATATGTTGTTTATCGTACACGTTGCTCTTTCTAGTTTTTGTAAACCCTACGTGATCGAGTTATGCGGAAATGTGATCACTACCTCTATTTCAAGATTATCGCTGCGAGACAACCACGTTTTAGGATTTGGTACCTATACACCTAAAAAATAGAAGAACAATTATTTACCAAAGTAAATTTTCTTTTTTTTTCGCACTAATATTTACAAAGCATTCATCTCAAAATCCAATTTAAATATTTTGCAAATTAAGGCCATGAGAGGTTATTGGACTTTTGGAGTCATTTGCATATTTTTATTTGAGGTGATGTATTTTTGAATAATTTTGTAAACACAAAAGTTCAAACCGAATTCAAGAATGTCAAGATCATTAGGTCCATAAATTACGTGAGGTGCTTTTTTAATTTTCTTTCCCTCCCCCCTTGGTGAGATTTCGTGTGATTTTATTCAACACACTCCCCCATCCTCCAATCTCACGTGAGATTTTTCAGAATGTTGGTTTTTCACTTAAACGCGTTGGATTTTTATTGTAAAATGAAAATACAAATGCTTCGTGCTTTTATTTACGACTAGTTAAGACTAGTAATCAATATTGCTGAGAGTTATAAGTGTAATAAAAATGTAACAATAGAATATTAAACGTATAATATAAATGCATGTACAATTAAATCTCGAACAAGTACAATTTGGATTAAATGGACTAAAAAAGTATTATCCCTCTCCAACGTACGATTAAATGAGATTTGAGTCTACCCCCTCCCCCCTTAAACATCTCACGTAATTTATGGACGCCCCCTTACCTGGTTCGATAATAACTCCAAACCAAGTCCAATGCTATTCCAGTTTGTCACCCCTTATTATAATGAGACTAATGTCGGAATACTGAAACGCTACTCAATTTTAAGTCGTGCTTAAGTATAGTTCTATTCAAAACAAATTCTTTGTAAAATGACAGAGATGGCACGATATTTGAGCACGACTTAAAATTGAGTAACGTTTCAGTATTCCGGCATAACTATTGTTACGACTCAAAACTTAAAAAAAAAAACAGCCGAACAACCTTTTTTTGAAGTCGGTAAAAATGGATATGTTCTAAGCATAAGCGCATGAATGAGGTCGAATCTGGGATCCTGATTTCACAAATCCTCACGGATATAGTAACAAGTGTGTGACCGGTCTTTTAGGGGTATCCCCCAACACACCGAACTCTCACAAAGATCACAATATACTCGTTACTCTTTTGGTGTTGGAGGTGACCATGAACTGCGCCAATTACATACCATCAGGTGAACCGGTTTAAAAAATCAAGACTGCTAAAACTTTAAAAATCTTCATTAAAGTTTGAATTTTATAGACTTGTTATAAAGTTGGAATTGTATTAAAAAGTCTATTATATCTACCTTTAAGTTGCATTAATTCAATGTAACAACGATTTGATTTCAGGGTCACGACACAACTGCAACAGTGCTCTGTTTCATGATCATGAGACTGGCGAACGAACCTGAAATACAGGTATTTTTATAAATGCAACATGTTGCTTGCATCTAGTGAATGTCCTTTAAATAAATGAAATGTTGGTGTAATACATAAGTGGTGTAGTCCCACTCAGCTAAACTTTAATTAACTATACCTATCTTAGTAGTCTTTTTAAATGTCCAATACTTTTTCTTATCGTACCTACTGACGCACGAGTGAAGTCGAATAACACTTCGCTAAACTTCTGCACAGGGTCTATTACAAAGGGATTAAAATCTAGCCTTAAGGTACTGTTACATATACATATTTCAAGTACGAAAGCATGCTGTTTAATGGAGCTCTTGTCACACGTAGCACGAGTGCCGGAATATTGCTCAAAATTAGCATGCTCATTTCAGACAAGTTTGCGAATCAACAGTGTACGGTGCAACCGCACATTGTGTAGCATCGTCAGCATTTACGCTTCACATTCATTTTATTTTATAATAAAGAGAGCCATCAAGTCGGGCGTTCTCATTACGGCCAGCAAAGGCTCTTGCCACTCAGTTCACACACATCAGTTCATTACCTCATTTACCTATAATTTTGGAACAATACATTTGTTTAGATACATTTAACATCTTTTATTCTATTCTACCCAAAATCATGTTCAACATAAAGTAGTGTGTGATCAAGATCATACAGACAGGCGTTCGATTTATGAACCTTTTTGGGCATGCTCAATAGACCTATTACCATGCTATTTTAGACATGATTAACTAGCATTTACAATACCTTAACTGGCGAAAATGAGATAATGTCATATATTCAACTTTCGGGGTCCATCTGATATAATGATTAGTATGTTTATTTATTCTAGGATTCGGTAGCTGAAGAACTAAAAAGTATATTTGGCGACAGTCAACGACCTCCTACCCTTGAAGACTTGAGTCAGATGAAGTACCTGGACTGTTGTATAAAGGAGTCGCTCCGTCTCTACCCCAGCGTGCACTTTATGTCCAGATGTTTTACTGAGGATGTGAAGTTAGGTAAGCTATTATTACTTATACTATGAGTATTAATAATGCATTATACACGATACTTTCGACCAAATTAGGTCTGACTTGCAGACTTGCTCATATCACCAGTAGTATTATGAATCTAAGTGGCTGTGTGAATCACTTACTACATATCTACCAGGCACAATTTTGGACCCTGTGATATGACTATAAATGTTTGATTTTTCAGAGAAAGCCAAACCAAACTCAAGACGTCTTGCACGGCGACGTAAGACGCAAAGGCAGGGGAGCAATTTTAATAAATATTTAAAAGCTTCACCAATTTCAATTCTATCTTACAGGCGATGTCACAGTACCATACGACACGATGTGCCATTTCAACGTGTTCGACATACATCGCAATCCGGATATATTCCCGGACCCGGAGAAGTTCATACCGGAACGATTTCTGCCCGAAAACTGTGTTTCGCGTCATCCATATGCTTACATACCATTTAGTGCTGGTCCTAGAAACTGCATAGGTAAGACGATAAATACTTATAATATACCATCAATCCGTATCCGTCAATGAAAGTCCACTTCTCTGAAAAAAGATCTCTGGACATAAAAGAGAAAGCTTATCGCAGAGGTAGATTAAACGTAGAGAGACGCATCGGCGCGTCGCGTTCCGAGCGCGTCTCAAAGACCTATCAGAACACCACAGATGGGGCCCAGTAGGGCTGATGCCCGATACGGAGCTGCGGAAGGCCTAACGGGTTGCCGGGACTCCGGCTCAAAGAGCAGGAGTAGGAACAGGTTGGTTTTTAGTCAATAAGAGTCTGACACTGACTCTCGCCTAACCCAAGGCGGAAGAAGTCATTATATGATTTTCCCCCCTCAAAAATGAAAAAGCAAGCACCTAATAAGTGTTTCTATTTTTTTGTACCGCGGCGCCGTCACTTTAGGCGCGCTCGTCTCACGGCGTCGCGGCACCCGTAACCCAGCGCTCTAGGCCCCAACTAGTTTGCCTTACGGATTATACGGCTCTGGCTTACCGTATCCATGTATCCACGCTTGGCAGGCGGGTTGGAGATCGGAGTTTAAGGATTTCATCAGGGGCCTTAGTACGAGTGTATTTTACGTTTCAAGTAATCGTAACGAGTACACCTTCGGCGCTCTGATTGGTTGGTTTATTGGTGCCGCTGCTGCCCGGACTCAGTCAGCTGTTTAGTCCCTTAATTAGCTTCTACGACACTCGTAGAAAAAGCAATATTAGCGACAAAAGTATTCTACTCACTGTCACCGTCTAAGTCAGCTTGACTTTTTTTACATAAGTCGTATTATTTCTTTGCAGGTCAAAAGTTTGCTCAGATAGAACTCAAAGTAATCATGTCGAGTATACTTCGAAGGTACATATTGGAACCTGTCACCAGAACAGAAGACCTGGTGTTCACTATTGATATCATTTTGAGGACCAATCATCCAATCTATGTACGTTTTCGTGAAAGAGAGCGTCGTGATTAAAATTGTACTTCTTTTTTATTTGTTTAGTAAAATCATAAGTGGAATGTATCAAATCACTTTTATCTGTTTTGAAATAATATTAGATTATTTAAAATTGTGTACTCTACATAGGTATATCAAGATAGCAAATAAAGTTTTATAAGTAATGAAGTAATTTTATTTCTCAATCAAACACTCGTTTATCCTTGGCCATTTTGTCCACTTTGGTTCAAATGAAATAAACAGAAATACAGAGGTCCTAACCACACATTCCTTTTTTCTTCCATAATATTTTCGCATATAACATAAAACATATTTATACAGTTGTCAATAAAACATTCTGAAAATGTGGCCGGTCTAGGCGAAAATATTTAAGTTCCTATTTTCGCATGAAAGCCTCTAAGGCGTTTCACAACCGTTAATATCCAGTGATCAACTCAACACTTCTATCTGCCGTTTCCTTGAACATCAAAAAAACGAATAGTCTACTTGTTCACCTGTAGGTGTTCCCCATCCCATTCTATTCGATACTTCATTGCGCAGTGTAACATGCACTAACCAACTAGCCAGACTCGTCGAAACTGGCCGCGTGGTCGCTTAAACATATACAGGGTCATAATATTCACAGCATTCTGTTGCAACAACTGACAGTATCACACGTGCTAATCGCTGACAAAATGGTCTTGTATTTGATATGGGTCATTGGCTTAATACTTGTGGCGATTCCCTTATACTTGCGATGGTGTCGCGCTGGCCGTTTAATGGCCAAAATTCCCGGTCCACCTGAACTGCCCGTGATTGGAAACTTGCTGACTCTCTACAGAACTAAGGGTATGTACTCGTTATCAACGTGATTGATAGCTTTTTGAACCCACCCTGTTAATATAGGTACCACTGAAAATTATATATCAATACCTGTTAATTTGAAACTATTTTTGCAGAGATATATTTCGAAGTAGCTTAGACTGTAGAACAAATGATCAAATAATACTAATAATATTATCACATGCTTTACATGGGAGGGGTACAAGGTACCTACCTATATCTATTTTGGCATTATGACATTAATAATCGCTCAGCTACAATCCTGAGCTCTATATTTGACTTGTTTGTGTTTACGAATCCACCACCACAATGACTGATATGTATCAATAATAGTAATAATATAGATTTATGGTTTTCTCCAAAAATCCTTCTTTGTTTATAAACCAGATATTTCAATCTGCTGACACTATAATTAGATGCCATTTAACAGAGAGTAGACATTAATTTTGTAGTTAGTTACGTAAAATGTGATCTTATTTATTTGATTACCCTATAGCGCATTGTTTTAGCATTAAACCACAATACCTACATACATTGCGTAATATAAAAGTTAAATTAACAAGGAGTATTAGAAGAAAAAATAAGTCACTAACTATTTTCAAAAGTATAAAACACATTCACATGCCTAAACTCAACTCTACTCAACCCTTACTTCATTTCTTTCCTTCTTTCTTTCTTTATTATTACAACGGTGTGGTTTTACATACATAACATAACATCACGCCGTTTTATCCCCGAAGGGGTAGGCAGAGGTGCACATTTCGGCACAATACATTACAATACGGAGAAGCAGTAGCTTGCATCGCGGTTATCAATTAATACTAACAATCCTTTATCTGTGTATCACAGATCTTATCAGTCGCTAAGACGCCCGCTTCTCATGTGGGTTTGCGCGCGGGGCTGCGGGAGTCCAAATTTATCCGCAGCCCCGCATTACAGTGCCGGCCCGTCCGTCCGGACCTCGTCTCCTGCACCGTGGCAATGTGTAGCCACGTGCATCGCCTCAAAGGCGCGCGCCGACACCCGCGCGCGCCTTCGACTCGGGTCTATCGAATCGGGGGCGGGGACTTCCCCAAGTCCTTCGCCCCTGGACCCATTCATGGGGGCCGGAAGAGGGCATTGTGGGCCCGTCTCCTACGCCCGGTGCGCCGTCTGCGGTTGGAAAAGGAAGTCAACAAGATCTCCCTCTCCCGTTCCGCAGTTTCTTTCTGCGACATCACGTCCTTGCAGAAAGACACCACAGCGTGTGCGACGACTCTGTGCTGTATTATAACATAACCTACCCCAACCTACTATATTTTTTAATTTGCAAACGTTATGAAACAAACCGGATTTGACCCAAAATCTTTTGCATAGGCCGAGTACAGTACGTACAACGAGTACAGAACTAGTTGTGCAAATTAAAAAAGTATGTTCCGAGGTTGACGTAGTTATCGTTGTAACGATGTTTTTTGTTTTTCGTCTGTTGAAGAATGATTAATTGATTACGTGTAACTTAATAAGCCGTTAGAGTGAAAGGTTAGAAATGAACTTGATCTACGTAAAATTTTAAGTAACTATAAACTCGTTGACACGAATTATTTTCATTTCCTACGAGGGAAATGAACAACAAATACTTATTCCTTTGTCATCTTCTTTAATGTAAACTATCTTCTGATTTGTTTCGTTGTGAGATCCAGGAGGATAGCAGTAAACTTTTTCTTGTTTCAGAGGATTTATTCACTGATACAAGATTATTTAATAAAATGTATGGGCCTCTCTGGAAATTGCAAGCTTTCAATTTGCGCGGAGTGGCTATATCTGATCCTAAAGATATTGAGGTATGTCCAATATTATTTTCTTTGAACAACTTACATCTTAATATCTTAAACGCCACAAAAATAGCTTGCCAGATATTTAAAAAGAACGAGATGAGAAGAGATCACTATCTGATAAAAAAATCGAAATTGGTTTGAATCAAATCTTATTGAATAAAATCTTATCTTCCCAAAATCTTCTTTGTTTCGTTTTCCTGTATTTCCTTAGAAATAACAAAAGTGCACACTTCTTTTTACGATCCATGTCACCAGTTTTCAATTTAAAATACGTTTAGTACGATTGACGGTCCTCGAAGGAAAGGCCACCGTGGGAGACGGTTTGTCACAACGAAATCACATCGCAGCAATTCGTGTCAAAATTAATGCGTTGCCGATTCGCATTGCATCGCAGTTTTGTGTAAGAACCCTAAAAACCGCCTCGTTCCTACTCCTGCTTTGATCAGGAGCCCCGGTAACCCTAAATCGTTCGCAGCAGCAGTCGAATAATTATGATGCCTTGATTCCAACCGGCCAAGTTCAACAGTAGACGTTTTACTTCTACTAATATTCGTCCCATTTCAGATGATACTCTCTTCCACCACTTACAATGAAAAGAACTTGCCTTACAACTTTTTGTATACTTGGCTTCGTGAAGGGCTGCTAGTGAGCAAAGGTATGTAAATACTTCTTACTGCTAATTGAATCGACCACAACGATAAAAATACAAGCATCGCATTTTATTGCAGGTGAAAAATGGCACCAACGTCGAAAATTGTTAACACCAGCCTTTCACTTCAAGATACTCAACGAGCACTTCCATAGTTTCCGGCAACAAACCCAGGATCTACTGCGGGCCATAGCAAATGAACATAATGAGGCACAAGTTGACTTACAACTTTTATTTACTAAAGCAACTCTTCTTGTTATGTGCGGTAAGAAGAATTGTATAAAATACTTACATACGATTACATTTTTGGGATATTCTATACTAGCTTTTACCCGCGGCTTCGCTCGCGTCATAAAACGATAAAAAGTAGCATAAGTGACATATACCAATACACACAGCGCCATCTATACCAATAATTTCGTTTTCCCTCGAGAATATCAAATTTTTCTGAGATAAAATGTACCCTATTATTTAATCCAGACTTCTAACTTTACGTCTGCAAAAATCGGTTCGTCGAATCAAAACGGAACAAACAAACTCACTTTCCCATTTATAATATTAGTAAGGATATACGTCGAGGAAACTTTATTGAAATATGTGCCACAATTAGACTAACAATAATTTCCTATTTTAGAGACATCACTTGGTACAAAAGTAGAAGACACGCCAGTTTTTGACAAATATCTAAAATCCATTCATGATATGGGTGAATGCGTTTTTCAAAGGTTGACCCAACCATGGCTGGCAACCGACTTTATATATAGCATGTCATCAAATGCAAGAAGAGAAAAATCTATAGTTAAGGTATTACATGACTTTACAAAACAAATTGTTGAGAAAAGGAGAGAGAACAGGATGTTGAATAGTAAAAGTGTGGTTGAAGAAAATGTGTATGAAAAGAAAATTAAACCAGCATTGCTAGATCTCTTGCTGGATGAAGAAGAACAAGGGAATATTGATATTGAGGGAGTCCTAGAAGAAGTGGACACGTTCCTATTTGAGGTTAGTACAGATACCAGTCACATCAACCACCTAAAATAGACTAACTAAATTTATTTATTTATTATTGTTATGGTTATACTGTTTTACACCATTAACATTAACATACACACAAAAAGATACTAAAAAGAATCAAACAATTAAATTATCAGTCAAAGAAGAAAAAAACACATACATGAACATCGCAGTAAAATAAATTAAAATACAAAATAAAAAATAGTCAAACAGTTGCAATAGTAGAAGACAAACAAAAATGTACATCACAATAAAATAAAACCGAAACAAAACATTTAATAATACACTTTCACACAGACTTACCTATACATATACATAGTATATACATAGTCTCTAAAGTCTCAGAGACTTTCACAAAAATTTAGGCAAACATTTTTAACAGCTTTAAGCTCGTCCATGAATAGATCACAGTCGGGGTAGGCTTCCATGTGGCTATCGCCGCGTACAGGACGTGAAGAATGGGGGACGATGCCCGGGCCACGGTACGATTTGCGGGCACGCATAGTAGACGGTGCCTACGAGCACGTATGTAGTTATTTGTGGCAAATAATGGAATTAGGTTTTGTTTTGACGTTCAAAAGTGCCTTCCTGGTCTAATTGAAATAAATGACTATTATATACGAATTTTGACTTTGAGTTGATATTATATATACTAGTTTTAGACTAGTACAGAACAATAGTTGTTAAAATGTTCAACTAACGATTATACATCATTTTATTACTTATCCAGTGGGCCCAAGTCATTGATACTGTGCCAAAAGAACTAACTACTAACAAAACTGGAATTTAGTGAAGTACCAACCTACTAATATTTTCAGGGTCACGACACTACAGCATCAGTGTTGACATTCATGGTCATGAGGATTGCCAACGAACCAGTAGCCCAGGTAATGATGAAATCTTATTTATTTTTCATTATTTGTCATTTTATGTAAATTCAAGTTTAAATCAAAGAAATAAAATCGAATAAATCTTGAACCTTCGCCTTTGGTTTACAAAAATGACATTTAGCACTATGTTTATAATTGATTTGGTAAATGTTTACGCTATCGGTACAATAGTACATATGTATATAGTAAAAAGGAACTCGATTTCAACCGATTTATAGTATTATTATGTTTATTTTCCATTTTCGAAATTCTTACAGATATTAGAGCTTACTCACTCAAAAAAGCAAACAAAAATACTTATTACCCTACCCATTTAAGAAACCAATGACACAAATGTATCTTCAAACCTTATTGCTCGTATTGCAGGACCGTATATACGAAGAGTTAAAAGACATTTATGGTGGCTCTCCGAGACAGTTGACTGTCGAAGACTTGAGCAAGATGAGATACCTGGAGTGTTGCATCAAGGAGTCACTCCGGCTGTACCCGAGTGTACCGTTCCTTTCTAGATATATTAAACACGAAGTTGACATAGGTAAAATTATACTCTTATAATTTTGTTATGTTATTACTCCTTTATATTTTGACAGACAAACACATATCTTGAAATGTTTTCATTAGCTTTAAAAAGCGCTTTGTTGACCAAAGTCAACGTCAAAGTTAATTGAAATTTTGACTTTGACCTTGGTCAACACCAAAACCTGGTTAGAAAATGATTGGTTTTCGAAATTTCGTCAGTCTCTGTAAAGAGATCAGCTTGTGTTCCATGTTGCAAAACGATAACTTCGAAGGGCGAGATTTGATGCCTATTACTCATCATATTACATTTGTGAAGAATCCAATGGTATCTTAATATTAAATAAATATATATACTAAATAAATATATCTTTATCTTTAATATTTCTAAAAAGTTATTACCTACTTTGGTAACCCATTTTGTATTTTGGAAAAGTGAATAATTCTCTTGGTCGTCCCCAGCTGGTTACACGATTCCAAAGAAGACATTTTGCAACATCCACGTGTTTGACGTCCACCGTAACCCTGAAGTGTACCCGGACCCCGAGAGGTTTATCCCTGAGCGGTTCCTTCCAAACAATGTGGCCACTCGCAGCCCTTACAGCTACATACCGTTCAGTGCGGGACCTAGGAATTGTATAGGTTAGTATTATTTTCTAGATACATAACCTCACGCCTGTCTCCCATGGGGGTAGGCAGATACTTTTATTGGCCCTTCTTTAATATATCGCCAATGTAGTCAGTATATGTCCGTCTAGGGCGCCCTCTACCGACGGCTATGTGTACTTCTATCGTAACTCGACTTTCATCCATTCTTTCTACATATACAAACCAGCGTAACATTCCCTTTTCAATCCTTGTCACTACAACATCTTTTGATGATGAATCTGATTTAAATTATTCATAATATTTTGTATCGCAAGCAGACATGTCTAGTTTATCTAGTTCTATCTAGTTTGTTCAAGAAACCGAATCGATGCAAATTAAGTTAACCAGCAAGTTTAGCAGCTAGTATTTGTTATATACAATGTAACATTATTTTCCCATTCATCTGACTGTACCTACCTAAAGGTTTTTCTTAGTGTCTAGTTTTTAGTGTCCTACTTTTTTTAAACTTAAACAAAAGTATCGCTTGTGTCTTGGCGTCTCTATAACTACTACATTTTAAATTTAAAATAACTTTTGAATGACCAGGTTAATATTTCTTGTTTCTATATGCAGGTCAAAAGTTTGCCATGATGGAACTGAAGACAGTGATGTCAGAATTGCTGTGGAAGTATCAGCTGGAACCGATCACAAAGCCTGGAGATTTGGTCTTCACAACAGATCTAGTTCTTCGGACCAATCATCCTATTTACGTACGATTTAGACCAAGGGTGCAATTGTAATAAAAAGAGGTTGTAATCGTGTTACACGTAATTTTTGAAACTGTATTCCAAAAATATATTACATTGTTTATAACTACATAAATATTTACAACTTAAAATTAACTACAACTAAACTATAAAATAAAATGAAAGTAAAAAAAGGAAACAACAAAAATTATACCATTTAGGCGTCAAAGTATTCGTTCGCATCACTATCACAGGGGAACTTTCCCAGGAGACTGGCAGCATTGCCACGTTGAATGGCAATGCTTATTTTCTGTCCGAATAAATAGCCAGCCCTCTAGTCACTAGTAGAGTCGATTAACCTACGGGCAATATTTTTAAAAATAGAGGCCTGGCCCAAGTGTTTCGACCCCAAACAGCTCAAAACAGTAGTTACCCACTAGATTTGAATATCTACGCCGTTTGAGGGCCTCTGTCGCGGAAGCGGCTGCACCAACGCATACAGCGGTACTTAGAAGATGTGATGGCGCAAGGGTGTGCACACACGACGCGTCCCACACCAAAGGCCTACCCATTTTCCAAGGCAGCAACGACATACCATCTGGTCTTTTGCCGTCATCACGTACCAAACCATTCTAATACGGCTGGTACACCGGCTGAGGTAAGAGCACGACGGATGATGTTGTTGATGCTGGCATGGCGAGCTATGCGGCCTGCACTTCTGCAACAAGAAAGACCATGGTGTTCCAACCCATCGACTCTTTCTTCACAGTGACAATAATGCGGAGAAACACAAGGAGCACCTAAACGTAAGCATAAAAATTTTATTCCAAAATGTGCTGTATCACGTTGGTTCACAGTTAGATATACTATTTAGTAATCACTAAACCAGCTAGTGAAAGGCCATTAACATATTTGTGATAAAACAATATATTAGGTATCTTATCAATGTAATAAATGAAAGCACTTTACTAACCTCCACGGCCGTTGGAGTAGACTCGTCAAAACATAGATTAGACTTACATTAAACATTCGACTAGTTATTAGATTGTGAAGTAATTGTTACTTATATACCGCTACCTTTCATCTAAAATGAGAGGATTTTTTATATTATTATGCGTTATATTACATTGATAAGTTAATATAAGTATTAGCTAGTCGTTATCGACATTTCCTCAGAATTCCATAATATAGGTTATTTAATAACTAGCATTTACCTTAATATAAAAAAATAGCTATTGTCTAGTAATTTTACATATACCTATCTTTTAAAATATCCCGTTTATTTCTTTTGGAATATGACATCATTATTTGGCATTCAACTATCATGTACGACCTTTAAGATTAGTCAAGTTTGTAGTTAAATATTTTGAACATTGTAATGTTAGAAAACAAAATCAATGACCGTGTATGTAACCGACTTCGGGGCAAAACTTTTTGCGATCAGACAAAAAGGAAATAAAATTTAAACATTAACTAAACGTGTTTTTATTGTAATATTTTCCTTATACAACATACAAAATTACACTCATACTACACAATATATACACGAACAACACATAATGTAGGATTTATACACAGAACAGGATTTGTGGAACAGTTAGCCAAGTTATTTGTTATGCAATAATAATGTGTGTTATGCAATAATAATGCAATAAATTGAAGTGTAGGAGAGTCATGCTTCGACATGAATGGGCCGGCTCGACCGGAGTGATACCACGGCCTCACAGAAGACCGACGTGAAACAACGTTGTGTTGTGTTTCGTCGTGTGAGTGAGGTTACCGGAGGCCCAATTACCACCCCCCTTTCCTTTGCCCAATCCCTGAATCCCCAACAATCCTCAAATTCCTAATCCAGAAGGCCGGTAACGCCTCTGGTGATCCAGGTGTCCATGAGCGACGCCGATTGCTTACCATCAGGTGATCCGTCTACTCGTTTACCGGCTTGTCCCATAAAAAAAAATGCAGGTAATCTATTTTGTTTTCAGTATAAACACACTAACCATCGGTTGACTACTCATCGACAAATGGTTTGAAAATTCTGGGTGTCTTCAAGGCCGGAGTGAATAGGTTGCTTATGGGACGACGTGCTCTAGCGTAGACCGCATCATCGCTTAACCAGGCGAGATAGTGGTCAAATGTCGGCCCATAAAATATATAAAAAAAAATCTTGTCTTTGTTTTAATAGATATACATTCTAGTATCAGTTCAAGCTTTGTGTAGAATCAATCTATTAAACTGTCAAATACCAAGCGGTCACCGGTGACCGCAACCTATTGTTCTATAATTGTGTCTGCAAAACCGGTAATCGACGAGTTAATTCTGATAACAAATAACTTGGTGACTGTACATTACTTTGCATCTACTTGTCGTTTCATTGTTTGAGATTCCAAATCGTTAAATGTTTACTCAACTTGATAATATTTTGTTGACTTTTCACGCTCACTGCTACTCGCTTCACATTTTTCGCTTCTTAGATTTCGTTTCCTAAGTTTTCCTTCGCAAAGCCTCTGTAAATATAGATATGACACTAATTACATATGCTACGTAAGTAGAATTTTATAATAACAGCACACAGTTCTGTCCAAATGCGGATTAAAAGCTTCATTTTATTGCTTTGACCAAATGTAAAGAGCATGGTGGTCTTCCTGGAAGCATGGCAATTGGCATCATGACTCTTTTGTATCTACTGAACTCAAATGTTTAGTGCATTGAGTACAGTTCACAAAATAAAACCACTACGTCATCGTTCGTTTACTAAATGAAAATGATATTCTACAAAAATGATGCGATGTAAGGTGGCCCGGAGGTTTAAGACGCCCGCTTCTCATGCATGAGGGTGCGGGTCGAAATCTACCAGCGGCAAGTACCAATGTGACTTTTTCCGAGTTATATGTACTTTATAAAATTATTCAGACACCACTGACAAACGGTGAAGAAAAACATCGTATGGGAAACCTGGACTTATAATTTGTAATTATAAGTTTGTAATCGCCAACCCGCATTGAGCAAGCGTGGTGAATAATGCTCAAACCTTCTCCGTATGAGAAGTGGCTTTGCTCAACAGTGGGCATATATAGGCTGTTGCTGCTGATGCGATGTAAGAACCATGTAAGTACCTAAGTAGTTACGTCTGTCGCTCTTACTAGCACCGTAAACGACGAACAGTTTTCGCATCATATATTATACATTTCATAATTTATAATAAATATCACGTGAAGACAACATAAATTATTTAACTTATACATACATAAAGTTTAATAGATTTATTGACTTTTAAAAATGCATCTAATAAAAAATAAAACAAAATGTAAATAACTTAAATGCAAAATGCATTCGCAATCTGCATTCGTTATTGTTATTACTAATTGACCTATTCTGTATATACATTAGACAGATACCTAAAAAATATAGAAAATATTTACCTTGAATGATTTCCTAAATTTAGTGGACATGGCGCTGAATAGCAGTGGGTTCAATACCGTCGGTAGCCAACTATTGAACATCGCTATCTTGTTCACTGTCGACCACCACTGAAAAACAGAAATTGTCAAGCGATCCATTTACTAAACACCAAACAATATTGGAACAGTATTGTTGGCAATTTAAAAAATTATGAGTCTCGTGTAATAGGAGGTGAGCCTATTTCCATATACCGGGCACATTTCCAGACTCCATGGTAATACTAAATTTTTTTTTAAAAACCCATTAATATTTTGCCCCACCCGGGAATCGAACCCGGGACCCCTTGCCCGGTAGTCGCACTTGCGACCACTCGGCCAACGACGCAGTCTGAGGCAACGAGACAAAAATTGAAAAATGTGTTATTTTGGTACCTATAGGTATATATCGTATGTGTGTATATGCCTATATACATGTAGTAATAAGCGCTTATTTCAATATTACAACGAGACCCTCCAATTTTTTTTATCTATATAGATAATAAGAACAACTTCAGTGACAGGCTATTGATGTGGCTTACATCTAGCTATGAACGAAAATGGACTTATAATGATCGATATAGAAATCGAATCGAACACTTTATGTCTATCCATGTCGTTAAAACAATTTAATTATTAATGCATCCCAGCCCTCCGCCCGCTGCTTTTTCTCTTGAATTTACTCGATCAAAAAAACCATAAAAATCTGTTACGTTATTTTAGAGATCTAAGACTACAGACAAAACGACGGGAAGCGACTCTTCTCTACTATATTATGCATGTATTGAACATATAAATCTTCCGTAAGAATCAATCTACCTATTAAAAAAACCGCATCAAAATCCGTTGCGTAGTTTTAAAGATCTAAGCATACATAGACAGACGGGATAGCAACTTTGTTTTATACTATGTAGTGATGATAGTCAAAACATTTATACCTGATGCAGGTGGGCGAATTTTTTGTAGTGAACTGCAAACATCAACGCTTTGAGCAGGAAACATGGTAGCCAGCATATTACAAACGATAGTGTCAGCGTGACTAAAACATATGAAAAATTTGTTTAATAAAGTAGCTTATAAAGATGTGTTTAATTCGTGTATCAATTGGGTACTTTACTTAATAAAAAAAAAATATTTCGACTGTTAAATACAATAAAATATTAACAAAATAATCACACTTTCATAAATTGATTTTATGACCATCTTAATTTTAGTATTTATCCAGCAAATTTTTGAGAAATAAGTATTCTGTTTGACGCTAAAAATGGGACGTCGCAACGTCGGACGTCTAGTTCAAAATTCATAGTAAACCTGTGGTTTTATTGAATATTGAATTTGATTAGTTGGCAAGTACACAATTCACTTCTAGAACTTTAAACAGGATTTAATCAATGTCAAAGATTTTGATGGTGTTTAATAATCATAACTAGTCCAAAACCAGTCCGTATTTGGCATTTAATGTTAATTAATATAGGTACTTATTAATAAAATAATATTTCTGAATAATTTACAAATCACATGACTGCCACAAACTTATCGGAACCAGTTATAAGTTCATACCTCGAATAGTTAGGAGAGGAATAGTTAGAGAGGGTAGTTTCCTTATTGTATTTTTATGTCCATCGTGTAGATTAATTTAAAATATTACACACGTTTGTTTCAACGATATACTAATTGTGAAATATCGTGTGACGTCACAACGCTACATTTTGCGTGGCGTAAATGTAAGCAAAATGTAGCGTAAATCACGACCTCCCAGTCCTATATACTTAACGCTATTTTATCTAAGTATTGTGACTTTGTGTGAGAAAATAAAATATATGTGTCTAATATTTTTTCATATCTAACTGACGGACTAATTAAGCTTTTAATTTTTATACCCTGGCAACTACCCTATTTATAAACAAACGTTTATCAAGTTTAAGGCATCTCCTGAGTAGTCCATATTCCTAAATCTAAGTCTAACTAAATATGTAAATGTAATTCACTATAATGACTGGTATACTTACGTATAAGTTTATTAACTTTCTTCTTTTTAAATCCACTATTGAAAACAGCACCATCAAAATGTCCCACATTATTATGGTTTATTCTCACCGCTATTCTGGAGTACACGAATATCATTATAGCCAGCGGTACTATAAACGTGAGGACAGCACTCACAGCTATTACGATCCTGCCAAACCAAGATGGCAAGGAAAAGCAAATGAAAGTATTTCCACTGTTGAATATCTCCAGCATCCAAAACTCTGGCACCGTCTCTAAAACCGCTATCGTCCAAATTATTCCCAGTATCTTCCCGACTCTCTGCCACACACCCGTGCGCTTCAAAGTCATCGGATAGCACACTGCTATGTACCGTTCTATCGATAGAGCCGTCATCACTAAGATGCTGTTGTTCCAAAGCACACCGATGATCAAAAAGTGTATGCACATCACGAAGTTACACGAGAATACCCCATTGTTGTACTGGAACAACTCGTGCTTTTGTGTCAGGAGCTGATAAATGATGATCAATATAGGGAACGTAACGAGTAAATCTGACACAGCCAAGTTAAAGAGGTAGCAGTTGGTGACGGTGTGCATCGTCTTGTCGTAGTAGATCACGATGCAAGTGAGTACGTTGCCCACAAGACTAGCGACGAAGATCAAGAATAGCGCTATTGAGAATATCACTTGGGAACTGTACGGCACTTCACTAAGCGCCAATGTTACATATTTGCGCCAATCTTCTGTAATATTATCCACGGAGTCATTCATGGTTTTAGATTTGTTTTATTTAGTTACACTCTTGTAAGTCAAAATGTTCTATCCTCACTTCTAGATGTTTCACAAGTCCCGCGCAAGGTGGTACAGTCGACTGAGCTCATGACACCGGCGCTGGTCAATGTTTATCTAATACATTGGTGATATTAGTTATCAACGAAGTAGTGTGTTCAACAATGTACATAAACGATTAGCTGGATTAATTCTATAGCCTGATGCGTGGGCGTGGGTATAGTAAATTGGTAGTACTAGTAAGAAAGAATTAATTAAATTTGCTACGCACATAACATTTTCTACGAAAAATAATGACATTGTAAATAGAGAGTACATCCAAACTAGAACCATTATCTTCGGTAATAAAATTGCAATCTATATAATGAAAATGAGTCGCAAAATGTACACGCGTAACTTAAGTTATACAGTGACCAACAGTTAGCTGCGCGACGCTCTCCGTGTCGTTCGTCGGGCAACACTGCTCATGGTTATGAGCCCTTAGCGTACCTTGAAAGTAGTCGAGTTACCTCGTCACTCACGTAAGTAAGCTACAAAACATGATTAATTGTAAACTATGTGAATATAACAAGAATTTGAAATAATCGCACAAAAATTATTCCGTGTGACAATCAAACCCGTGACAAACGTTTTGCAGCAACCAGTGGCTCAACCACTGCCCAACCGTGAAAATAACTTGTACCAATAAAAATTAAAGTAATAAATAATATCACATAGTAATTGAAACTTATTTATTAAACATACAAAAGCTTTTACAGTTAAACTACATTAATATTTACATAGTTAGTTTCATCATCACTTCGCATTTTTACTTTAAACAAATACTCACTAAATAAAATAAGAAAACAGTCTTAGAGTGTAAAAACAACTTTTCTGTAACATAAAAATATGTACATTAAAGTAAGACTAGTATTTCAGATAATAAGTAGATATTACTAAGTAATTAATGTTCTTAAACGATCACATTTTACTCATATAGGACCAAATCCCAAAACTTGGTCCTTCTGTACGAAAATTATAAAAAAAATAAGTCGGTATTTAAATTTTACCTAGAAAATGTAGACCAAATAATATTAATAACAAAGTAATTCCTATTGAAAAAAATGTAGAACTAAATTAAAAAAAAACATTCATCGCGATTATTTTTCAAGTCCTATCATCACCATTTTATGAAAACGACAAATAGATTAATTCTTACAAAAAAATCCATGTAATAATACACCGACGGACAACAGAGATCACATATTAAACTAGTCCAATTAAAATTACGCAAAATTTCAAGACTAAGTAACGTCAAATGCCAATATGGCCTCTGACCCCACCTTCTTCACCAACAAATAGTACACCTTAATAATATCACAACATCTAGAGCCAATTTCACAGACTGATACTCCATAGCATCCAACAATTTTATGATGATTTAATAGGCTTGATTCTCCGATCAAGAAAATGAATTATTAATGAATTTTTTAAATTGAAATTACCATTAATAGCCGGAAATTTTCGAATCTGGTGGTGTTCAACTCCCGTGTTTCGGAGAGTGAAGACAAGATGAACATAATAGACAACTGAACATCATCTCAGATCGAACCACTTTATGACTTAATTCCAGTGACAACGAGGTTTTTGCACAATGCAAGTATTTTTCACTCAAATTGAGAAGGCTCATTCGTACTGAAGCAATGGCAATATAGAGACTGTGAAACTAGGCTAATCTTAATCTAAACTTATTATAAGAATATTTAACTGTTAGTTGGTAAGAACCATCCATGTAAACATTTGGGAGCTTCTGAAGGAGTATTGAAGGTGGTTCGAGCTAACTCCTGCATTGTCTTAGCGTCTAGTATTAATACTGCAACTGTATGCGTTACCTCACCGCCCCATACTAACGCACTTAGGAGGACTCCGTCGTCTTCATCCTGGAATAAACAGGTCAGTTTGAATAAATCCTCTCATGAAGATAAGTGAGTTCCATGTATGACTGTCATGTAATTAACAGTCCACACAGGACTATGTCTAGCCAAATCCTTCTCCACATAGGAGGTTGTTATAATCTCCACGCTTGACAGGCCAGTTGGAGATTGCAATATAAAAGGTTTACATATCAGAGTCGGTCTCTGTCAAATGTGTAATACAAAATCTAAATACGGATCGATGTTTGACCATTTGTTGTTGGTAATGAGTTTCAGTCGAAAATCGGTCTTAACCGACAGATTTTGGATCGAGATCGATTAATGAAATCGTCAGTTAGTCGACACTTACGTCACTGGTGACCAAAATAACCCAATTTTTACTCATCTACCGAGCTAATTATCTAAAATGTATAATAAATGTTCCAATTTTACTGTTTACTTTCTTTTATTTAATATCCTACTAGGAATATCCCTACTTATCCTGGGTAGAATAAAGTAGCATAGCCGTAACCTTAGTACCGGGACACAGTGACACAATGTATTGATAACCTTAAACCTTCTAAAGTGCAATCTCTAAATCGCCTGTCAAACGTGGCAAGTATATAATTGTGTTAAGGAGACTCTGGGAGTTTAAAATTGGACAGTCATGTGTCTTGAGTTGTAGATGATAATGACGACAAACAATTTGTACCTTTTAATAAAACACTAATACTACACAAAGTAACGCATTGCCTCACCTTTGCATTAGGCGCTGGCACAAATATCGGTTCGCTCGGGTAACAGTTTGGTTCACACCACGTCCTCGTCTCACCAGTCTTCGTGTCTACTTTTATAACCTGAAATAAAATGTACAACAGAAGTTAAATATGGTCCTTTTGTCAGTTAATGTGGCCCTTCAGTACCGACCACTTACGACCAAAACTGTCTTATTTTCGAAAAATAAAAGAGTATTCCATTCTTTTTTTTCACACAAAGTTATGATTTACGAATTAAATTTTTAAATCACGTTTACCTTTTCTATTAAGGAAAAGGTAAAAATACTTAGTACATTTTTCTTGTCTTACCATTCCAGGATTTTCGGCATCTACATCAGAACTGATGGCGTAAAAGTATCTGTAGGGCTTAGCTGAAATAAATAAAAAGTTATCATTAACACAATATTATACTCAAAAACATATTTGGCCAAAAAATCTTAACATCTCTATTATCTCTAATTTAACAATACTTTAAGATCAGTAAAATATTTACCGTTATGAACATCATAGTGTATCCTTGGCGTCTCACAGCCGATGTTAGCCAAAGTCTTAGGTTCTACATAAGTAAGATTTGGCGCATCAAGTGACACCTCCATCCTCTTAGGTCGCGCTCGGAACCAATTCGCATAGTCTGCGTTACTTTGCATTGACTAAAAAATGAATCATAAATAATAATCAATAATAGATTCCTACATACCTACTAAAAATTGATAATTACGTTAGATATTAAAAATACTTTTATTTAAAAAATTAAATGTACCTACCGCATATCACTAGCTTTTAAAAATCTTAAAAGTTCAGTTTCAAAGTCAAAGTCAAAATGACAGTTTATGAAAAATAATTTAATAATTCAAAATCTAACAATTACAATTATTAAAAATTCATTGATTATTAAAGTATTATCAAAATATGACATGTAACTTGAAATTTGCATGCCATGACAAGTGGCAAACATGCACCTGTCTGTGTGTGTATGTATGTATACACATGTTTTTTGCAAATAAATGATTTTGATTTTGATAAATCTGAACTAATATAAATATAGAAGAAAGTGTGCTGTTTGGTGTGCTTTTTAGTTTATTACCTCTTTACTATTATCTACTGAAACTATCTTCCTGATATTTGCATAAATATAATCAATGGTACGAAGAATGTCTGGGTAAAAAATAAAAATCGGTGTATAGGTAATCTTAATCACTATAGACTCACCTCAATAGCCTTAACATACATGGCGTCTATGACTTTAGCGTCCTTGTAGGCGCATATATCCACGACCAGGTTGCCTTCCTGTTCGAACGTGTTGATAATGTGCAAGTAAAACAAAGACTCCGTTCTGAACCTCTTAACTTCTCGTCCTGTAGACCTACTTAGAAGGACTATGTGGGTCTGAAAATATGAAGAAAGATATATTAGGTAGTGGAAGCTATGAGTCTTATTTTAATAGTGGGTAAGTCTAATTTCGTATGAAGAGCATAAATCTTTTTATCTGTTGATTCTTCAAACAATTTGTACAAACCTTGTATTTATTTATCATACAGTTCACAATAAAATAAAATAAAAAATAAAAAAGCCTGTATTTCTCTTAAGACAATAATTATACAAAATTTGTTCCATAATATTTATTAACTAATTTGCTTGTTTCTTATTGTGTTAGGTAAATTGTTGTATTTAGTCAGCGAGAACCCTTTTGCAGGTAAAGGCCTCCTCCAAGTTTTGCCAATCGTCTCTTGACTTCGCCGTTTGTATCCAGCGTGATCCAGCTATTTCTTTAATTTCGTCCTCCCATCTTTTGTGAGGTCTACCTCTTTTTCGTTTTCCTGCCGGGCCTTTCCACGTTGTGATGCTTTTAGTCCACCTTTGATCTTGGAGGCGTGCTACATGTCCAGCCCATTTCCATTTCAGTGATAGAGCCTGTGTTAGACCGTCTGTTGCTTTAGTGGTATTTCTAATTTCCGTATGTCGTATTTTTTGTATTTTTTTGATATTTAACATACTTCTCTCCATCCCGCGTTGGCATGTTATAATTTTGTTTTTGACCTTTGTAGTAAATTTCCATGTCTGGCAAGCATAGATCAGGCAAGGGATAAGACAGGAGTTCATCGTTTTGGTTTTAAGCTTAATAGGCATTTTACTCTTAAATATTTCTCTTAAGCTCCAGTATTTGTTCCACGTTATCTGTGCCCTGCGCTCCACTTCTTGGTAGTTATTTGAACCATCAAAGCTTATTTGTTTGCCAAGATAGATGTATTGGTCAGTGTATTTAAGTGGCTCGCAGTCTACAAGTATTGGTATCTTGATATTGTTGGTCATTAGCATGGTTTTTGAAAGGTTCATCTCTAATCCTGCACACTTACTAGCATAATCTAGAGACTCTACCATGTACTGTAGCTCTGTACCATTTTCTGAAATCAGGACTAGATCGTCGGCGAAACGAAGGTGATTTAGATATTTATTTTCGATCCTAATGCCTCGTTTTTCCCAGTCAAGTTTTCTTATTATTGATTCTAGAGCTGCTATGAAAAGTAGAGGTGAGAGCGGGTCGCCCTGTTTTACTCCCCTTTCCACTAGAAACCATGGGCCAGTTGTTTCCAGTCTGATTCTGCTTTTGCTGTTGTTGTATAAGCTCTTAATTACTTGGATATATTCGTTCTCCACATTTTGTGATGTTAAAGTTTCCCAAATGAAGTTATGAGAGATGGAGTCGAATGCCTTCTTGTAGTCCACAAAAGCCAAGTAGAGTGGTCTTCTTTTCTCCTGATATTTTTCGATAAGAAGTTCCAGCGTGTGTATGTGGTCGATTGTTGAATATCCTTTTCTAAACCCAGCTTGCTCTATCGGTTGGCTCTTCTCTAATGTAAAGCTTATTTTTTTATTTAATATTGTGGAAAAGAGCTTATACAATGTCGGCAGTAGGCTTATGGGTCTATAGTTACCTATGTCCTCAGGGTCGCCTTTTTTGTATAACAAAATTATGTTAGATTCGGACCATTGGGTGGGTGTTTCTCCAGTTTCGATGATATAGTTAAATAAGTTTGTTAAAGGCATAACGAGTATTGGGGTAGCCAAATGTAGAGTTTCGTTTGTTATGTAATCCGAACCTGGGCTTTTGTCTGGTTTAAGTTTTTTCACTGCTTCTATGACTTCCATTTCTTCTATTTGGGTTTTATTTAAATTTCTATGCATTTGGCTGGTAATTCGGGATTCTATGTTGGTGTTTGTTGGTTCATTAGCGCTGTATAGCTCCTTGTAAAATGTGGTTGCTATTGTGATGACGTCACTGCGGTTGTTTTTTGTGATTTTTCCTTTTTTTAACCCTTCTATCCAAGATTTGTGTGAGGTGATCTCTTTGTACGCCTTCTTGGTGCTTCCCGTCTGTATAAGGTGTTTCTCAATCGTATTGTACCTATAATTAGTATAGTCATATTTTACGTATTTGCTGACCAGTTTGTAGAGGGCCGAGATTTCGTTTTTAGTTGCTCTATTTTTATTTTTGCTCCTTTGCAGATATTGTCTCCTTTTCATGAGATGTAATGTGCGTTCTGAAAGTATTTTATGATTTTCCTTAGACTTCCGGGTTTCTCGGGCATTCTGCATGCTTGTCGTGATGATTTTAACTATATGATCGTAGTACTCTTGAACTGAAGTAATATTCCGGCTGGTTATCTCGTTATTTAGTATTTCAAGTTTTAGGCTTTCTTTGAATTTCGAAATTTCTTCTTCGCTTTTTAGTGTATGATTGTTTGAGCTACTATAGGTTGTTCTGCATTTCTTTGGTAGCGTACATATTATTGTGGCTCTTACTGGTCTATGATCCGAGGGGTAATTTATATTTAGTACCTCTATATTTTGAAATAATAGTGGTCGATTCGAGAGTATAAAGTCTATTTCATTCTTGTAGGTGCCATCGGGAGATCGCCAGGTCCATTTGTTTTTTGATTTTTTCTTGAAGTAAGTATTTAGAATCGACAGGTTGTTTTCAGCAGAAAAATCTAGTAATCTCTGACCTCTTTCATTTCTGTCACCGTATCCGTATGGTTTGGTAATAAGATATTCTTCTTTTCGAGGTATTCCAATCTTCGCATTCAGGTCGCCCATCAGTATGTAGTTTTTGTTTGTTAATTTTATTGCCTTGTCTACCATTGAATAAAAGCTTTCAATTTCCTCATCGCTTGCTGTTGTTGTGGGTGCGTAAACCTGTATTAATGATAGGCTGATGGTTTCAAATTTCAGTTTTAGTACAGCTACTCTTTCTGAAAGCCCTATGTAGCTTTCTATATTGTTTTTATATTGGGATTTTATAATGAAACCTACGCCGTACATGCCCGGCGTGTGTCCCGTATAACACAAAATGAAATCTTCATATTCTTCAATCTTGTTTCCGAAGCGCCTTGATTCGGATAGGCCTATAACATCATATTTATTTTTACTAAGGGCTTCTGTTAACTCTATTAAGCGCTCGTACGATGATAGTGATTTGACGTTGTATGTCAATATGTAGAACTTTTTTCGTGACAAGGTTATTTTTTCAATTGGAGGGTTTTGGTCTTTATCTTCCTCGGTGACCAGCCGGCTTGGAAGATGGTTTTTGTATTTTCTTTGTTTTCTAGTATTTCTATAAGTAGCAGTAGTGGTGGTGGCGCTGGGAGGGGGCGGTGGTAGTTGCTATATGTTTCCATTTTTGTTTCCTGACGGGCCTGGGATGTTCTTTGGGTCTACGTTTATTAAGTAATTAAGCATTCCTGGTTTCGATATTCCCTCCGAAAGGCTAGATGTTCTTTGTATTGGAGTTCGGGTTTTATTCTTTTTGCTAGCCTGTTTATTTGATTCTGTTGTGTAAGTATCATAGTTTGGAGGAGAAGTTGAAAGTACTCTCTTGTTGCTAGTGTGTTTCCGGTTATTTTCTTGAATTATAAGTTTATCGTATTTTATTTGCACCAGATTTCCTTTTTCCTTCTCAATTTTTGCTTGTTCTTGCAATATTTTCCTTTTTTTTAGGATATCTTGTGGAAAGTCTTCTTTTATGTAAAACCCGGTATCTTTGAGGGTATTCCTCTGTTTAAATAGAATTATTTTCGTCCCCAGTGTAGAGAAAGTTACTATTATTGGTCGGGGTTTTTCTCCCTTTTTTCCTATCCTTTTCACCGCCTGGATATCTCTGCGGTCTAATTCTTGAGAGAAATGTTCTTTTATAAAGTTAATAATATTGCTCTCTAAGTGTGCGTATGAAGTTTCCGTTTCTTTAATTCCGAAAAAGACGATGTTTGTTTCTCTTGCTTGCTTCTCCAGAAAGTATAATCGTTTTTCTTGGTTTTCATTCTTTTCCTTGAGGTTTTCGTAATTTTCGTTTAATAATTTGAATTTTTCTTCCAAAATGTTGTTTACATTTATTGTTACTTGTTCTGTGATTTTATCTACACTTTTCTCAATAGTATTTCTCTGCTCATCGAGGTCTTTCCGGATCTTTCGTAGCTCAATTATAATTTCTTCCATTTTTAGTTTGTTACAATTTTTTTTTTCTTTTTTTTTTTTTGGTTTTAGTTCTTATTGAAATCTTATGTGGTACAGGTGGCGTCCTCTCGTGGTGTTTTTCTAACTTACTGAGGTAATTAGAAATCAGTCTATGAACCTGTCAATGTAGTCCGAGCAGTCTTGGACAGATGGCGATGGTGGTTGGTACTTGTGGTGCTCTCTCGTGGTACTACTTTGAACACAAACTAGTGCTTAATTAAAAAATGCGAGTCATCTCCATTTTTATCAAGCAGGGTTATCAGTTGAAGAGAAAAATTGTGTGCTAAATCTCTCAAAATTGTTTTCGTCGAAAGTCTAAGTTATAACAACTGAAACTTTTCTCTAGTCTAGAATGTTCGAACCACAAATCCAAAAACCTAGTTTTTTTTTAAACTTTGCCCCACATAAGGATTTTCTCCTGTGTCGTGGGTGCATTTACAAACATACAAGTTCACATACACAATGACACCCAGACCCGAAACAACAATTTGTGGATCACACAAAGTGTTGTTCCGTGCGGGAATCGAACCCGCGACACGTTGCACGGCAGCCGGTTGCCCAGCCACCGCACCAACCGTGCAGTTAATTACGTAATTATGTTGTTACTAGAAAGAAAATTATCGGAATATATACCGATTTGGTCCTTTGAGTCGAAATCAAAAGAAAATGTTAGAAACAAACTGAATTTTATTTTCGAACCTAATTATTGCCTAATGGTCGAATAAACATAAATAAATGACTTTGTTGTGAACTAACCTCATAACCAGGATTCCATTGCAGACTGGAAACCAACTTGTCGTTGGTGATAAGACCTCTCATTAATCCAGGGACTGATACTGACAGTGGTTGTTCCACTATCACGAAGTAATTCTCAGTTACACCTGGAAGTAAAAAGAAAATGTATAATTACTATGTGAAAAAATAATCTCTTTTGTTGATTGAAATGTTCAGATTGGGGGCTCAGATTCAAATTCGAGATTTTCGATATTTTGAATTCTTAATACGAAATAACGTTTGGAATTCGGTATCGTACGGAAATCATTTATATTATAGGGCTTAAAACATAATGGTCAAAATGTTTACACTGTTTTCAAAAGTGGAAAACAATTTTTTGTTTTCCACTTTTGAAAACAAAAAATTGTTTCTATTGAGTATTATTCAAATTTCTTTATTGTGGATCACAGGTCTTAAATATATACAACTAGCGACCCGCCCCGGCTTCGCACGGGTGCAATATGCATGTATTATATGCATGTATTATACATACAAACCTTCCTTAAGAATCACTCTATCTATTAAAAAAATCCGCATCAAAATCCGTTGCGTAGTTTTAAAGATCTAAGCATACATACGGACATACAGCGAAAGCGACTTTGTTTTATACTATGTATTGATTAAGTAGATTAATCATGTCCCGCCCTTTGTGCAGTACACAGTACCTACGCTCCTGAAACGCTAACAAAAAGTTAAAATATTTTTTTTTGTTTTCACATCAGCAGCCTTGGGCAGTTGATTACAACTATTATTAGGTACATAAAAGAAACATTTTACTACCTTACTTTTTAAAATTAAAACGTATCTTTAATTTCATTTACACCGTGTATAAAACACATAACTTACCGAATGTATGCATGTAGGAAGGATTCAATGTCCACCGAGGTTTCAGTGATGCTACGATGCGAGCGCTTTTGAACATGTCGCCTGAGAATTAAATTAGTAATATATCACTGCACAATGCACATAGTAGCAAAATATGTTGGAATGGACTTACAGTACCATTATAACAATATTGAATAACTTTTCTATCTAGCAATAAGAATACCGATCAGCATCGAAAAGGCTTCATAAAGAGTCATTATA